AGCAAAATGTAGCAAAATCAACCCCATTAGTCTCAATAATGCCTATGTTCCTGAGAACCTCGTGGCAGTTGTCTAGATAATCCCGGGGATCCTCAGTAGATGCATCGCTGAAAGTAGAAGTGAAGAGCTTGGTGAACCTATCCAGTCTCCACAAAGCATCGACGGACATAGCCGCTCCATCAGCGGTCTGAGCTACCACACCTGGCTGTACTACTCTAACTGGTTGAACCACTGGAGTCTGAATCTGAGGAGCTACCTGCTCCGGAGTGCGAGTAGCAGGAGTCTAGGCCCCTCCTCCAGCCTGAGAGATGGCTGGTGCTATAGGAAGCAAGCCTTCCCGGGTGACACTCTCCATGAGGCCCACTAATCGAACCAGAGCATCCTGAAGAACTAGGTAGCAATGAACCCCTCTGGGACCTGAGTTGGGCCCACCGGAACTGCTGGAGCCGGAACCTCCTCATCAAAATCAACCTGAGGCTTCGTCACTGGGCCTGCTACTCGGGGCTGAGATCTGCCCATACCTCGGCCTCTAGCACGGCCTCGGCCTCGCCCTCTGCCCCTCGTGGGAGTGGCTGCTGGGGGCTCGGGCTACTGAGTGGAGGATGAGGAAGCGCGTGTTCTTGCCATCTGCGAAAGAACAGAGTAGAAGTTCAATTAGCATTGAGAAACAAAACCACACGATGAGAAAGAACAAATGTGAAGTTTTTCCAAACTCTGTAGCCTCTGGGGGATAAATACAGACGTCTCCGTATCGATCCCTCAGACTCTACTAAACTTGTCTATGAACTGTGAGACCTATGTAACCTAGAGCTCTAATACAAACTTGTCACGACCCGGATTTCCCAACCTCGGGGGTCGTGATGGGCCTACTAATAGGATCTAGGCAAGCCAAACCTTAACTACTTGCTACGCTTCCATATTGTTACATTTTAACAAACACAAGGCGATAACATGATAACAATGGAACTTTAGATAATTTAGCAGAAGTCAACAATTAAATATCTTAAGTCTACGTCTATTACAACTTTTAAAACCTCAAATACCCAAAACCTGGTGTCACAGTGTCACAGGCTATCTAAGATTTCTACATACAAGGTCTGAAGAAATAATAGTACGATGTTTCCGAATAAGAGAGAATGAAACAGGAAGTAGAGATAGAGGGAGGCGCCAGGGCCTGCGGATGCCTGCAGTCTACCTTGGGTCTTCGGGTGGACTGAAGGAAGCACTCCAACTACTGTCCGAAAGCTGCTCCTGGATCTGCACATAGTGCAGAGTGTAGTATCAGTACAACCGACCCCATGTGCTGGTAAGTGTCTAGCCTAACCTCGGTGAAGTAGTGATGAGTCTAGGACTATACTACCAAATAAACCTGTGCAATTCAAATATATATACAGTGAAAAAGAAATACAGAAAATAACCAGTCAATGTGGGAGGGGAAAACATGTTGTGGGGAGATAACAGTTCCGAATAGAAAGTATCAAGTAAGGAAAGAAACCACATAACTCGAATATCAATAAAGAATTAGAAATCAACAATTTGCACAGCATCACCCTTCGTGCTTTTACTCTCGTCCTCTCCAAAGCAATTTTATAATAAAAGTGTGCACGACATCAACCTTCGTGCTTTTACTTTCGTCCTCGCCAATCAATCATATAATAAAGATGTGCACGGCACCACCCTTCGTGCTTTTACTCTCTTTCCTCACCATATAATCAATGAAAATCGGTACAGAATGGTACATCGTACGGCACGGAATCACCCTTTGTGCTTTACACTCTTTCCTCACAATAGCAAATAATGCACGGCATTACCCTTCGTGCTTTAACACTCTTCCTCACCCAAACAATAATCACAAGCAAAGGGGCAAGAGAATAAACAAAATAGTAATAGAGATCCCGGCAAGGGAACAACAGTTAAACAATTAAATCTCGGCAATGGAACAACATCAATAATCTCAACATCCCGGCAAGGGGACAATTTAATAACTCTTTCTCTTTCTTTCACTTTTATTTCATAACTAACTTTACCACTTGAGTCAATACTCCAAAGGGTTCAATCATCTCATATACTTTCACAATTCATAATATAACTTGAGCCAATGCTCCAAAGGGTTCAATTATCTCATATATTTTCACAATTCATAATATAACTTGAGCCAATGCTCCTCGATGTTCAAAGGTTACAATTCCTACCACAAACTTTTCACAACACTTAGAAATCATCACCAAGGCATGAAAGATACAACGAAATCAAGATCTTCAAAATTTAAAGATTCGCGGTCATGTTAGACATCAACGTATAGATACTCGTCACCATGCCTATACGTCGTACTCAACAATTATCACGTAGAAAATAAGACTCAAACCTAATCCCTCAAGCTAAGGTTAGACCAAACACTTACTTCGATGCCTCAAACACAACTCAAGTTTCAATTATAGCTTTGCCCCTCGATTCCTCCGCCAATACGCTCGTATCTCGCCACAAGTTACTTAATTACATCAATAAACGCTAGATGAATCAATTTGAATGCATAAAAATGAGTTTTCCAAAGTTGTACCTAAAAAGTCAAAATCGTCCCCGGGCCCACGTGGTCAAAACCTGAGGTTCAAACCAAAACCCGATTACTCATTCCCCAGCGAGCTCAAATATGTAATTTTTTTTTAAATCGGACCTCAAATCGAGGTCCAAATCCCCAATTTTTGAAAAACCTAAGATCTACCCAAAACACCCAATTCCCCCATGAAAATAATTGATTTGAAGTTGAAATCATGTTAAAAGATGTTAATGATTGAAGAAAACTAGTTAAAAACGACTTACAATTGATTTGGAGAAGAAAGGTTGTTTGAAAAATCGCCTCTTATGTTTTTGGGGTTTTGAAAAATGAAAACTAACTAAAAATTTCGTCTATTTATACCCCTCTCAGACCCCCTGTGCGGACCGCACAAAATGGACTGCGGCCGCACAGGCCTTCCTGAGGTACTGCGGTCCAGTGCCCTGTGCAGATCGTACGAAATGGACTGCGGCCGCACAGGCCTCCACCGCGCACCGCCTGAAACCGACCGCGGACCGGACTGGCCCCTTTCCGCAGTCGCACACGTTTTTGTGCGGACCGCACTTGCGGGTTCAGAGACCTGCAACTTCCGGTTTTAAGTCTAAAACATTCTGAACCTACTCGAAACTCACCTGAGCCCTTAGAACTCCAAACCAAGTGTGCATACTAACTCAAAAACATCATATGGACCTACTCGTGTAATCAAATCATAAAAATAACTTCATGAACATCAAATTAAGTCTCGAGATCAATGAAATTTTCTCAAAACTTCTTTAAGCATAAATTTTGCGATTTAAGTCCGAATCACGTCACATGACATCCGTTTTTCACCAAATTCCACAAAAATGTCTTAAATCATATATAAGACCTGTACCGGGCACCGGAACCCAAAACAAATTTCATTTCAAATTTTTTTAAACAATTCCAAAAAAAATTCTTTTAAAATTCATTTCTCGGGCTTGGAACCTCGGAATTCGATTCCGGGCATACGCCCAAGTCCCATATTTTTCTACGGACCCTCCGGGACCGTCAAATCACAGGTCTGGGTCCGTTTATCCAAAACGTTGACCGAAGTCAAATTAGCTCATTTTATAATCAAAACTTATCGTTTTTCATAGATTATCATATTTAAGCTTTCCGACTATGCGCCCGGACTACGCACGCAAATTGAGGTGATTCTAAATGAGGTTTTCAAGGCCTCAGAATACGGAAATTTCGTTTTAAAACAAGTGATAACCTTTTGGGTCATCACACTAAAGAGAATACTTGATTTCTAAGGGACTCCCAGTCATTGTAGAAAGATAGTTCTGCAGGAACTATTTCTTCTACTGTAGGTTCATGAACAGGTTCAGCGGGTTCCTTACCCCTGGAAGAAGATCTTTGTGAGAAAGAACCTCTGGTTCTAAAGGAAGGACTGGAACTAGATGAAGGAAGAGAAGAACCACGTACAGAATAAGACCCTAAATTACGAAGTCTACCTCCTCTTCTACTTCTGCTAGGGGCAAGAGGGAAGTTATCAACTATGGGGACTCTTCTAGGGTTAGATTTTGGTGAAGACATGATAGTACGAGGAAGAAGCAAATAAAAATTCAAGAATTGAATACTCAGAGAGTTTTATGTGATAAGGATAAAGACGAAAACTATGTTTATACTAGGAAGCAACCGTCAAAAGAAAATGTGCAATGATGGAAAGGTCATAATGAGAACTGTCGCTTCGTGATTAGTGAAGCCGTAAAAAATCCCTAAAAAGTGCTACAAAGTTGCAAAGCTAATAAAAGGGTGCCACGTGTGATAAGCATTAAATGGAAGTGACAATTGAAACGTCGATTTTACCGTAGCATTAATAGCGGCAACATTCCCGCTTTAATAAAATCCACTTCCCAAATATTCAATTGATGAATAAACGGTAAGTGGGGGGACTATCTGTATTGGGAAAATCGAGTTTACATATTAAAGTGATTGGAAGATGACGTGTCATGACACGAAGGCTGGTCAAAGAGTGATAATTGGCAAAGAGGCACGAGTTGCAATAGATACGAGCAGAAGGTGCAAGTAGAGGCACGAGCAGTTATTCAAAAGACTCAACGCCCATACCTATTTATACTCAAAAGTCAAGGAGAATGAATCTGACAGCATAAGAGAGTACAGATACAGTATTTAATAAGCAGTAAATACTAAAAACGTTATAGAATCTGTACTAAATTACAATGATTATGTAACGTAGCATTTAATGCATTTAATTGTCTATAGTGGCCTAATTATAACAAAGGCAAAACGTATATCTTTAAAATAACTATAAAAAGGAGAGAATGAATCATTTGTAAGGGCACGAAAAATCATCTGAATATACTGGTTTACTTTGTTCTCTTCTGTCTATCTTATTGTTAGCAAAATCACTTTTCATTATTCAGTTTTGATTATCAATAACCCGTGTTCTTTTAAATTAAAGTTTTGACTGAAATTTCACTTTTTGATTAAACACCTATATAGGCCAATGTCTAGCATTTAACCAGAACCACTAAATAGAACATACGAGTACTACTATCTACATGGTACTAAATTACAATGCCTATATACACTCCGTACCATCAAAATATTGAGTACGGAACTTACCAATAACTCCTAAATTTTGATTCAAGGAACTGTACTTATAGGGTAGGAAAGTCATAGACTGCCCGAAAGAAGTAGTACTAAGTAATATCCAGAACTACATTTAAATAGAATAACTCCACAAAGGCATATCAAAATCATCCTCCATATGATCTCCAATTTGTGAACACTGAGGTGGAGGTAACATTAGTCCTTCTGCCATATTCGCTAGTAATCCCGGCATGCAAAATAGCGCTTCCTCATCCATATAAAACATATTTTCAGGAGTACTGTTCACTTCCTTCGAATCTTCTCCAGAGTATTCCGGCATGTTTTCGGCCTCCGATGTCCGGAAAGCCTCCGCGGCCTCAGCCGCCGCTTTCTGAATATCCTTGGCGTCGGTTGAAGCAGGAATATGCAACTTCCAAGCAGAGTCAGCGAAGTTCAAGCAAGCAGAACGGCCCCTTAATGCAATAGCCGCCACGTCATGAGCTCTAGCCGCCATTTCTGCAGAAGGGAAAGTGCCCAGCCATATTCTTGATTGCTTATTGGGTTCTCTCACTTCACAAACCCATTTGCCGGAATTCCTCTTCCGCACTCCCCTGTAAACTGGATGTCGAGTTTCGCGTAACTTCTTCCTCCCGGCGCGCTTCTTAGGATTATTCGAAGCTAACATAACTTCTTCATCAGAAAGGTTAGCTCTGTCACAGGAGCTGCTACTATCAGACAGAGATGAAGAATCAGCAAGTGGGTCCGAATAATAGCTTCAAAAAATATCCATTATTCTTGATCACTTCAGAGAGTAAAAGAGTAGTAGTAGCAGTAGTATTGGATGTTGGCGCAGTTTGAGGTATTTTGCTATTTGGTCAATGTGAAAAGTGGGCTATATATATGTATATATATAGTGGAAGTAGGATATGATAAGTGAAACTAAAGAAGTTTGGAACGCGGGGTGATAAGGAGACAGGCTGGATTCTTTAATGGGTCAAAACCTAAGTCCAGCTGTATTATGGGACAAACTGGATTGGATTCAGAAATGTTCCGAATCTTAAGTGTGTCTAACTCGTGTGTGTTTCTGGTGATGCGGCAACTTGTCATGGGCCTTTCTACTTTCTTCCTTCCTTCCATTTATATCTAATCTAGAATATACTGGGACTACTTTGGCCTACTACTGTGTACTGACAAATCTTTGACATTTGAAAATGATACTCCACATAATTATAACTAATTCCTATAGCACCTAGTCAAAGGTCGGCATGAATATTGAATCAACTAATCTTCTAAGTCCTTAGGCTATGTTAGAATATTCAAAACCTAATACTAATTCTAAGATTGAAAGCTTTGTCTTAGTGAATCCTCTTGTTAGAACACATTAATGGATCTAATTAGGACATTCGCCTTTTTTTTCTTCCATCTTCAATTATGCGATGCATTTTTAATTGGAGAGTTTGTTATTGTCACTCCCCAAATTAGGGAAGGCGAGATCGATAACTCGGTGCCTCACTTGATTGAGCGTACCAACTTGAGATTGAGAAACTCTGAACATGCAATGTGATACTTTGGTCGTAGGGCCATATTGCAGGACAATTAGTGAAACATAATATAAAACTGTACGAAAACCACTACTAGAATTCGGCCAAAAAGCGACCAAATATTGGCGATCAAATTTGGTCTGTTAAGAAAAGCGACCGAAGTTGGTCGCCAAACTACCGAAAATAATAAAAAAAATATTTGAAATAATTTAGGACGCAAATTTAGTCAAACTGTTGACTGGGCTGGTCAGACTTGCTTGGTCAAAGATACACTGAGTTTAGCGACCAATGTTGGTCGCAAAAGTG